CCTCTTGTTTATTTATTTATTTATTTATTTTAGTTTTTGCCAAAGGTGCATGCACTTGCTGGCAAGAAACAGAGCAAGGGAAAGTGCGAAGTCACCTCCCCATGGGGGATGGACACACAGCAACCCCTTCTGCATTCTTCTCTCGGGATTTGGGGCACACGCGTCAGGCATGATTTTTAAGTTACTGGGACCAGGACTCAAACTATGATCAGCTGTGTGGGACTCCAGCAATTTAACTACCATGCCACCTGCTGGGCTCTGCCCCCCCACCCCCCCCTTTTAAAGGAAGTCCTGTAGTTAAATCCTATTGGGTGGTGGGCCGTATGGCAGGCCCCTGATCCCACCTGACTGGTTTCATTGTTCAAATCTTGGACCCGGTAGCTTGAAAAACATACAAAGTGTGTGTGCATGCGTGCCCACGATCCCGAGAGAAGAATAGAAGAGAAGGGGTTGTGGTGTGGCCAACCCCTCTGGAGGATGCTTTTTCACTTCCATCTCTCTGGCAAGTACATGCACCCTATAGCAAATAAAAATTTTTTAAAAAAGATCTTATTGATTAAGGTACTGGACCCCACATAGATGACTCTGAGGTTTGACTCCCAGACCTGGCAACTTGAAAAACATGAAAAACCACTGAGGCGGTTCAGTTGCCTGCATTTCATGCTCGCAGCTACATCTGACATTTTTTTCAATCTCTTCTGCTTGTTTAGCTTTTTTTTTTTTTTTTTAATCAAAATAATCTTTTTAGCTGTTTTGGAATGCAGCATGGAGGGATTTTTTTTTTTCTTTGCCAGAGAACATGTGTACTTACCAGAAAGACAGGCAGAGACAGAGAGAGTGGGAGAGGGAGAAAACACACCTTATGGGGTATGGGCATATTACAATCCCTTCTCCACCATTTCTCCAGGCTGGCAGGATTTGGGGCATGTCTGTTCAAGTTGTGTGCCTGCCTGTGTGTCTGTCTTTCCTTCATCCCTTTGTTCCTTCTTTCCTTCGTTCCTTTCTTTCTAATTTGCTATAGAGTGTGTGTGCCAGAATGGGGTGTGGGGTTGTGAGAAAGTACCCCCTTGGGAGGATGACTACACTGCAATCCCTTCTCCTCTATTCTCCTTTCAGGATTCTGGGCACACACGTATATGCGCCTGGTATGTTTTTCAAGCTGCTGTGTCCGGGACATGAACTGCACAACTGGCCATGTGGGATCTAGCTGCCTTAATCACCCTTCCAATTGGCTGGCCCTCAAGCTGCATGTTTTTCAAGGTTGGGATTCAGACCACATAGCTACCATGTGGAATCTAGCTCCTTTAACCACTAGGCCATGGGGCCAAGAGTCTTGTCATGTCCCAGTGCTCCTGCCTCAGCCTCTTAGCTGGGGCTAAAGGCATATGCCACTGTGGTGAGTTTTTTTTTTTTTTTTTTTTTTTACTTTTTATTTTTTATATAGGGTCTTGGTTTGTTGTATGTTGCACAGGCCAGACTCAGACTCATGATCTTCCCGCCTCAGCCTCCCTAAGTGCATGCCACTGCACCTGGCCTTTAGGTTGGCCTGTTGGACTGGGCATGGGATCTGGACCCCCTGTCATTGCAGTCTGTGGAGCATATCCCCCTAGCAGCATGCACCACCAGCCAGGCCAGGGGTGTTGGTTTTTAATTCTAAGCATGGGGTGAGGTTGTGTAGAGGAAGAAAAAGGACACACTGTCTCCCTGTGTTTTATTTTCCATCAGGAAATGCTAACCATTCAGAGCACAGCAAAGGTGTCGGGAAGCTAGAGTAGGGACATAAGCCAGGGAAGCCGAGGGCCAGCCAGGGGCATGGTGGTTAGGGTGCCTGGATCCCACATAGAAGGGATGTGGGGTGCTCATTCTCCTGGGAGTGCTTTCTTACTTTACTTTCTATTTCCAACACTCTCTCTCTGTTCCTCCTGGCAAGTGCTTGTGCCCTATAGCAAAATTAAAAAAAAAAAAAAAAGAGAGAAACCGGAGAGCACCCTTAAGTCTTTGAGTCAAGTCTTTATAGCCTTACGTGTTTTGGTTTCCAAGAATGTTACAGAAATACATATTATAGTGCTATGACAAAAATCCTATCCAAAGTATAGTATATGTTCGAAGAGAGATTACCCTCGTCATGGTTTCCATGGATATGCAGGTACTGATGTACAGGCACTGTTGTCTCCCAGAGTGTAGTACCGTCAGTGAGATCCTCACACAGCAGCCTGTGGGAGCCAGGCACTGTTTTATGATCCCACTCATCCGTGAACATAGTCCTCGGTGCTACATGCTGTCATCGTTCCCTGTTTTATGGTCAGGGAGACTAAGGCAGAGGTGGTCCTCCTCAGACTGCAGCCAGAAAGTGGAGGGCCTGTGCTCGGACCCAGGACTCAGCACTCGAGCGCTTTGCCCCTGCGCTGTATTGCACCTGCTCATTTCCCTGTCACTTGGTGGAGAGCTTAGTGTGGCCCTCCCAGCGTCCATTTAACTTCCAATGTTTGTTTCCGAAGACAGATGCTACATTGCAGTGCACGTCTGCATGACTGGGAGTAATCTCATTCTTTTAATTTTGCCTTCAGATAAGATGTGAAGGAATCAGGCTGTTTCTTCTGTGGCTTCAAGCACTTCAGACAAACTGCGCGGAAGAGCAGGTGCTGATTTTTGCTTGCCTTGTGCCTGGCTTCCCAGCAGTCCTGTCATCCAGGGGGCCCTGCACTCTGGAGACGCTCATCAACCCCAGCCCCGGTGCCGCTGACGGTGAGTGACCCGGTAGATCTCGCATGGTTGGATTGCTCTTGCCTGATGTGAAGAATTCCTTAGTTTAGCTTTTTTGGTTTTTTTTTTTTTTTTGGAGAGGTTTTTGCTATAGGGTGCGTGAGCTTGCCAGAAAGACAGAGAGACAGAAAGTGAGAAATCACCCCCTAGGGGAGATGACCACGCCACAATCCCTTCTCCTCTTCTCGGGATCTTGGGCATGCACGTACACGCACCAGCTGTGAGTTTAAGCCACTGGGTCTGGGACTTGAACTGCGGTCGACTACATGGGAGTTCAGCAATATAGCCATTACACCATCTGCTGATCTCTCCTCCTTTTTTAAAAAATAAAATCCCGATTTTTGTAGATGGAATCTGAAGAGGCGTTCTTTCCTGTTCACATTCACAGTAGATTCTTACAGACGGCATCGAACGACTTGGAGGCTATTTTGTATGAAATCCTGACAGGAGAAATGTCCTGCAGTGGTGGAAACAGGGATGGAAGGGAGGGGGCGGGGGTCGGCAGTGACAGTGGCAGAAAGTGGGAACACAGGGTTTGTCTGGAGTGTCGATGTGGCTGTTCACAAGGTGGAAATCTGCTGCCCTGAACTGCTGCCTGTCGTTCCCTTCACTGTTGTTCCAGTGGACATTCATTTGGATCTTATTTTGCCAGCTGCATGTGTTCCTGCAGCATTTATGGGAGGACAGTAGTGGCCTCGTGGGACTCTTAATTGTGGCCATTTGTGTCTTGTTAGTTTTTAAATAACTCTCTTGTTAGAGCTACTGATTGATGACTGCGTATTATTTTATTGCTCAATGACTGGTATTTGATTTCGGGTGGGCCAATGCTGAATTTGAAAGGGGGAAAATGGCCCAGTGGGAGTGGTGGCTTCCTGGGCATCCATGCTGTTTCCAGGCCTTTCCACACTACGTTCATTGTGAGCAGTGGACGGATGGATGGATTTTAATGGAGACCATTTTTCAAAACCCTAAACTCTATTTAAAATGGAACTTTCGTATAGAGTTCTCATTATTTTCCACCTGCAGCAAAGATATATCCAGAAGAAATCACTCCACTCCTGCCAGCCGTATCAGGGGAGAAGATCGCTGAGGACCAAAGCTGCTTTTTCCTTCAAGTCCTGTTGAAGTACATGGTGATTCAGGTCAGAGACAGCTTATAGGTATTGCAGTTGATGGGCTTATTCTTAGTAGGAAAGAGAATATGTTGCCTATTTCCACTCTGTATATTCATAAGACTATTTTTTTTTTAGTTTTTTCTTTGAGGTGATTTATGTAATATTTTGCCAGAGGCAGACTGTGTACCATTGGCAGGGCATGTGACTGCATGTAATCTGTTTTTTCCTCCATATTCCTTCCCTAGCCCAGTTTCCAAGCTAGAAGATAGGATGGAGGAGGAGGTAGGCTTAGAGGCTGCGTGGGTGGGCCAGGCATAGGCAGGCCTGCGGGGAGCTCTGAAGGGGGGTGTATGTAATGATCTTGTCGTGACTTTATGCCACATGGATAGTTTTTTCCTGTATTAATCAACTGAATACAGAATTAGTTACTACTTTATCATTTTAGTAGGTGACTTATGTCTCTTGGTCTATGTTTCTGAATGTTGATATAGTTAGAATGAAATCCACGGATTCTTTCACTCTGTGAACATTGTCCCGAGCTCCTCCTAGGTGTAGTCTGGCCTCTGTCCTTCCCCACACGACAGACTTCCCTGAAGTAATAGTCTCTCCCAGGTCTGCCTCCTCATCTGCCGTTCCTCCGGCACCCATGGTTACCCACCTCCTCCCAGGTGCTGCTCAGACATCATCAGGGCTCCGACCATGGCACGGTTCCAGTGGTCAGTCTGGAGGGAAGGCATGCTTCAGCTTTCGCTCTGCTCCTTCCTAGAGGGTATTTGCCACTGACCGCCCCTCCTTTGTGAGATTCTCTTCTTCCACAATGTTGTCTTCCGACTTTCCTCCTCTTTCTCTTTTGCCCCTTCCCTGTTTACGTTAGGGAAGTGTGCTTTTCTCTACTTATCAACACAATTCCACCCTTGGCTGCCCCTTCTGACTGCTCAGTCTTGCTGGGCAGTTTCGTCCCCTTCTCCCCGGTTTTTTTTAGCTAGCATCAGAAACACAAGGATTTCAAAATCCTCAGAACTCGACTAGGACATTCTGTCATCTTCTAGAAGCTTCTCATTTGAGCTCTGATTACCCTTTCTACATGCATTACCAAACACCATCTGTTCAGAAGTGGTCAGGCATTTCATCTGTCTGGGGAAATCAGCAGAGAAACGCAGCACTGGGATGTGAGGAGCCTTGGTCCTCTTCTAGATGTGTCACTACTGAGTGGTGTGACCCATGATGCCGCAAATTGTCAGGATCCCCCTTAAAGGGAGATGACTTTCATAGAGGGCAGGGGTGAATGCAGACTATGCCCCACCCTTTTGTGTGCAGGGTTTCATGTGCATGTCTGCATCTCCCTCCTCCCCTCCCTTCCACTGAAACAGGTTCTCAGAACAGAGCTTTGGGCATGTGATGGACGCTGACCCCTCTGCCCCTGGGGCAGCCAAAGCACCTCATCCCTTTACTCTAGCTGCTGCATAAATATTACCATTTGTTTTTATTATTATTATTATCATTATTATTATTATCATTTTTACATTCAGTCACTGTTTATCATTGCATCATACAAAATGAATTTTCCTAGCACAAATACACTGTATATTAGTTCAGTCAGAGATATTACCATATGTATTATCATCAACAGATTTTTTAAATTTTTATGTCCCTTAAGTGTTTTGCTTCTTTTTCTCCCCCTTGATTCACTCTCTCTCATCCTCCCCCATTTCCCACCCTCCTCCCACACTGTCTCTAGTATCTACAGTTGCTCTCCATGCTTTTATACTTTCCTGTCTTTCAGTTTCTGCCATAGGGTATATATAAGTGGGGACACACAGTGCCTCTCTTTTATAGTCTGGCTTGCTTTGCTCAGCAGTAAATCTTCCATATGCATCTACTTTCTGTCACATGCTAGAATCTCAATGTTTTTTATAGCTGAATAGTATTCCATAGTGTATGTGTGCCACACTGTTTCTTTTTTTGGAGAGGTTTTTGCTATAGGGCATGTGTGCTCACCAGACAGACAGAGACAGAGAGAAAGAAAGCGAGAAATCACCCCCTGGGGGGAGGTTTGGTCACACCACAATCCCTTCTCCATTCTCCTTTCAGGATCTTGGGCACGCACACACACATGTCTAGCATGAGTTTAAGCCACTGGGTCTGGAACTCAAACCATGGTCGACTACATGGCAGTCCAGTGATATAGCCATTATGCCAACTGCTGGTCCCGTACCACACTTTTTCAGTCCATTTGTTTCTGGACATTTGGGTTGGTTCCATGTCCCAGCAACTGTGAATAATGCTGAAATAAACATGGATGTGCACATGTTTTTCTGACTGAGTGTATTCCTGTCCTTTGGGTAGATACCCAGGAGTGGAATTGTTGGATCAAATGGAAGTTCTGTTGGTAGATCTTGGAGGAGCCTCCATATGTTCTCCACAGTGGCAATACTAATTTACATTCCCACCAATAGTGTGGGAGAGTTCTTTTTTCACCACAGCCTCACCATTCTTATCATTATTTTTTTTCATTTTAGCCATTCTGACTAGGGTTAGGCGGTATCTTACTGTAGTTTTGATTTGCATCTCCCTTATGGTAAAGGATGATGACATGTTTTCATATGTTTGTTGGCTATTCATATGACTTCCTTAGAGTTGTCTGTTCAGATCATTTGCGCATCTTTTAATTGGATTGATTATTTTTTTGCAGGTAAGCTGCTTGAGTTCCCTGTATATTTTGACTATCAGTCCCTTATTTGAGGGAAAGTTTCCAAATGTATTCTTCCATTCATAAGGTTGTCTCTTTGATATTACCATTTTCTTTTCTTTTTTTTTGAGAGAGATTTTTGCTATAGGGTACACATACTTGCTGGAGAGACAGAGAGAGACAAAGAGAGACAGAGAGACAGAAACTGAGAAATCACCCCCAGGGGAGTTGGCCATACCACAATCTTCTTTTTTCCATTCTCTTCTCAGGATCTTGGGCACACATGCACAAGCCCCTGGCGTGAGTTTAAGCCACTGGGTCTGGACTCAAACCATGATCAACTATGTGAGAGTCCAACAATATAACCATTATGCCATCTGCTGGGCCCAATATTACTATTTTCTAAGTGGGCATGTCATGGAAGAAGTTGAGAAGCTTCCTTTGCATGTTCTATGCACTAACAGTTATTAAGAATCTCTGACAGATTTCAAAGGGCCCCGTTTCTCTAAGTAATGTGGGGGTGACTGTACCTGGTAAACTGGCTGTCTCTTAGCTACTGTGGGGAGACACCATGTCAGATGTTTGAGGGGGAGAATATCATCTCAACACTATGAAAGTTAAGCTTAAGCCATACCTAGACCGGCCAGCTTGTTTTACTGTAGGAAATCACCTTTTTTTTTTTTTTTTTTAGGTCATTGGGAAAGTCATGACATATTTTTCTACATTTTTTCTATGCAGAAAAATGTGTCATGTCTTTCCTGGTGACCCAGTAATAAGGAGAATGCACCTTGTAAGATCTCATAGCTTTTGCCTTTCAGTATTGATATCACATGTAGTAACATGGGAAGAAATCCTCAAGAGGGATTGTTTCTTTAACTCCTGTTTGTTATTAATGGTGTTTTTTTGAGTTTAGGAAAAAAAGTACCTGATAAGTTCTGAGTAAATGTCATAAAGGTACAAAGGAATGTTAAATCATGAAGAACATGAGGAAAGAAATGGGCATAATGTAGTAGAGTAAGTTTGAAAAGATATGATATCTCTAGCCAATACATTTTTTTAATACTCAGTAAACATACCGTTTTAAACATAGTTAACGTTTTGTTCTGAAGTATTCATTTCCATCATCCTTTGAACTTTGTTAAGATATGATTTCATTACCTATTTGTCAATATTATTTATTACTTTTTAAAAACTATAGGGTTAGTAATTTTAATAACATAACATTTCAGTTTGGTATATGTTCATTTGAAATGTAAATATACATATGTTCTTTTCCACATATTATCCAAAGGCTGCAAGCTTGGAGTGGAAGAATAAGGAGAATCAAGATACTGGTTTTAAATTTCTTTTTACATTGTTTCGAAAGTATTATCTTCCTCATTTATTTCCATCATTTACTAAGTTAACAAACATCTACAAACCTGTACTTGGTAAGTATTTTTTGAGCTGTGTGTAGAGGATAGCCACAGGAAAGCTATATAGGAGTGCACACGCACACACACACACACACACACACACACTCGGGCAAGGGGGGAAAGATGAAACTTGGTGCATTTTGAAAGATGTGGCAATACTCACTTTTAGGGTACATGAGGCTATGTATGTGGGTATCTTTCAAAATTTATTTCTGCTTTTGTATCTAGTTTACATTCATTGTAAAAAATTGATACAAATGGGAACCAGCAGTTAGCTTAATGGCTATGTTGCTGGACTCCCACGTAGTCAACCGCGGTTCGCGTCCCGGACCCAGTGGCTTAAAACTCACGCCGGGCGCGTGTGCGTGCGTGCCCAAGATCCCAAGAGGAGAATGGAGGAGAAGGGATTGCGGTGTGACCATCCCCCCTGGGGGGTGATTTCTCAATTTCTGTCTCTATTGTCTCTCTCTGTCTGTCTGATGAGTGCACACACCCCTATAGCGGAAAAAAAAAAAAAAACCCTCAAAAAAAGAATTGATACATTGTAAAAAAAGAGACTAAAATCTGTTTCTTGAGACTTTTTCTGCCTCATGCAAGTACTACACGTGTAGAAAAATTAGTTTAGAGAGTTGGACTTACAACAAGTAGTATCTAAAATCTAAGACCATGTAATTTTCATGTTGGTTATAGAATTTAAAGAATAAAAAGTGGATCTCTTGTTACTTCTTTGGAAAAGGTACCATCTGATACTTCAAAGATGAGATGTGACTTCCTGAATTTCTTTGGGTATAAAGTAGATTATATTTATTCCGTGCACTTCATTGCTCAAAAGGGAAAAAGGATATAGAACTAAAGTTCAGTGGATTTAGTCAGTCCAGTGTTAGATGTTAGTATGCCTAAAATTATTTAAAAAAAAAAAAAAGTTCACGAGACCAGCGGATGGTATAATGGCTGTGTTGCTGGACTCCCATGTAGTCGACCGCGGTTCGAGTCCTGGACCCGGTGGCTTAAACTCACGCTGGGCACATGTGCGTGTGTGCCCAAGATCCCGAGAGGAGAATGGAGGAGAAGGGATTGCGGTGTGGCCATCCCCCCTGGGGGGTGATTTCTTGCTTTCTGCCTTCCCGGTAAGCACACACGCCCTATGGCAAAAACCTCTGAAAAAAAGTTCACATAGACATTTGCATTTCCGTTAGCCATAAAATAAGATTAAATTAGGTATAACATGTGGGGCTAGCAGGTGGCATGGTGGCTAAGGAGCTGGACTCACATAGCCAACCGTGGTTCAAGTCCCAGACCCAGAGGCTTGAGAATCACACTGGCCACGTATTCCTGCATGCCTGAACTCCTGAGAGGAGAAGGCAGGAGATGGGATTATGGTATGGCCATTGCCCCTGGGTGTGTGGGGGGGTAATCTCTCACTTTTCCTCTCTCTGTCTCTCCAGTGAGTGCACATACCCTATAGCAAAAACTTTTTTAAAAAATGTCAAAAGCATTTTACATTATACACTCCTATAATTTCTCAATGTTGTTTTAAAGAGCCGTTAGCTTAGCTTTTCCAGAGCTGTATAAACTAGCCATGTGTAAACAGTAACAACTACCACCACCCCTTCCTGGTCAGGTGGCCAGGTAGGATCAGAAATAAACCTATCAAAAGATGCCATTTAAATCATTTCTGTTCTCCATTCTTAGTTGATGCTCTAACAGCGAAGTAAACGTTTATTTAATTGGACACTGTGTGGGGGTTACATAACGGTAAGATTCACTGATCTAATCAATTGTGGTTTTTTTTCCTACCAGACATCCCCCACTCAAGACCAAAGCCGGTGTACATTACTACAACTCGAGACAATGAAAACATTTACAGTACCAAAATTCCCTACATGGCGGCTCGTGTTGTTTTTATTAAATGGATTGTAACTTTCTTTTTGGAAAAAAAGTATCTAACTGCAACACAAAACACTAAAAATGGAGTTGATGTATTGCCCAAAATCATCCAGGTATGCCGTTCATCATCCTTCTATCTCCTAATGCTTATGTAAGAAAACATACTAACAGATAGCCAAAGCAGTTGATCGGAGTTCCTGGTTTTCCAGGTTGCTGGTTATAGCAAGCAGTTTCATCAGTCATCCCAGTCTGGCGTGCTGAGGTTTCAGAAGGAGTTGCGATTCAGGAGCTGCTGTGTGCTTTCAGTGTCAGGGGAGGGAAGTGTTCTGAGAAGAGGGCCGCTGCGTGTGCGCCCCTGTGCTCTGCACGCCCCTCGTTGTCCCTCTCTTGAGCTGGTACCAGTGGCCTTGGCCCGTCTTGCCTTTACCACTCCCCACCTGGAAGGCACTCAGAGTCTCTGGGGAAAGATCAGCAGCTCTAGATTTGGGGCTGATTGTTAAGCTGTAACGGGGTCCCTAGAAGAGAAATTTACCCCTCCTGAGGCCTTTGGAAGAGACCACATCTTATGGAAGCCCACTGTGCTTTCTCTCCCTTGGCCTTGGTCAGACACAAAGTGGGGGGTGGTTTCCCAGCAAGCTGAGCTGCTTGGTAGAACACTGTTCCTCGTGGAGGTCAGACAGCAGCCACTTCACTAAGGAAGTCATGGTTTTATGTACCTGTTTGTTTGTTGTCCCTAAGAGCAGGGGCAGAAAGTGTGATCCACTTCCTGCAGGTTTGCTGATGCCATGGGAGGCCCAGAAGTATGACCTCGGCCTGAGCTGGGTGAACCCACAAATCCAAGGAGACAGCTAAATGGCCCTCGTGCTCCAAAGGCATTGTTGGAGGAATGCCAGCGTCAGGAGCATGAGCTCCACTGACGAGCTCTCACAGTGAGCCCAGGGAGAAACTTATGCTCAAAAAGTCTGAGGAAGATAGAATAAGAACAACAGAAGACTTAATGAAAGATAGTTTTTAAAAAAAAAAAAATGGGCCAGCAGGTGGCATGGTGGTTAAGGCTCTAGGTTCCCATATGTCCCACCACAGTTTGAGTCCTGGACCCAGTGACTTAAAAATCATGCCAGGTGCATGTACATGCATACCCCAAATCCCAGGTGAATGGAGGAGAAGGGATTGCAGTATGGCCATCCCCCCTGGGGGATGATTTCTCACTTTCCCTCTCCCTGGCTCTGTCAGGCAGACATCCTATGGCAAAAAACATAATAAAATAAATAAAATAAAATTATTTCTTAATTTGTAGATGTAGTAGATAAGCTAGAAATGATCCTTCTAAGAACGAAACTGAATTTCTGAAGAAATAGCTCCTAATCTAAATATAAATTCAAAGAACCAGAAATCAGAAAACAGACAGACAGGTTCTGAGGACAGGGTCAGTCCTGCCTAGGAAATTTGAAGACAGGAAGAGAAAGAAGTAAGAAGTTGTAATTGAACAAGTAAGAAGAATAAAAGTTTACCTGAGCTTAAGAAGAAGACACGTCTCAGACTGAAAGGGGCTTTGAGTGTCAGGAAAAGTTAGCCAGACAGACACAAACCCAGACAAGCATCTGACTTTCAAGGGATTGAGAGAAAACTGTGCAAGCTTCCAGACAAGAACCATGGGTTACTTCAAAGGAGTGAGACTGAGGTTAGTGTTAGGCATCTCATTAAATCTGCAACCTTAGAAGCAGGAAAAGTACTCATGCTTTCTCTGTCTCTGTTATTTCTCTCTCTCTCTCTCTCTCTGAAAAGGTGATACCAGTCAGGATGAAAAGAATCTTTAATAAATAGTGTTGGCACAATAGTTAGAACTTTGCCTCTTACAGCACACATATGCAATGCTAGGTGGATTTAAGGTCTGTCATAAAAATAAAATAATGGGGACCAGCTGATAGCACAATGGTTACATTGAGCACTCCCACATAGTCGACTACAGTTCAAGTCCTAGACCCAGCGACCTAAACTCATGCCGGTGCATGTGCGTGCGTGCCCTAGGTCCCGAAAGGAGAATGGAAAAGAAGGGATTGTGGCATGGCCATCCTCCCTGGGGGATAATTTCTCGCTTTCTCTCTGTCTTTCTGTCTTTCTGGTGAGCACACACGCTCTATAGCAAAAAGCTCTCCAATAATAATTAACAGAAAACAAAACCCAAGCAATAGAGTGTAGTAATATCGTGTCTGCTGAAAGAATTGCCATCTCTCTCATATCAGAAGTACCTTATGTAGCCTGCAGATGAAGACCAACGACCTCTCAGAAAATCGGACAAAGGAGATGAAAGGGCAACTCACAGAAGAGGGACGCAGTGTCCCCCAGTTTCATGGGCAGCCAGAGAAATGCAGTTAGTTCTGAACCACAGTGAGATACCATCACCCAGGTGTCAGATAGACAAAAACTGAAAACCATCAGGCAGACAAATGTCAGGGTGAAATGATGTATCAGAACCTCAGTTACACCGTTCGGTAAATTTTCCACTGCATCCTATGTGATTGTCCACCCAGTTAAAAACAGTCTGAATTAAAGACTGTACCCTTTCCCACATCATTTCAAGAGATGAGGAAATGACCACCTGTATTATTATGTCGTCAGAAAGGTCATGACATATTTCTGTGTCTTTCTGTGTAAAAACATGTCATGACCTTTCAGATGACCCAATATTAAATAAATTGCTCATTTTTGCAAAATACGTTGGCTGATAAGTGGAAAGAACAGCAGATTAACCCATGCTTTAAGCTTTCTAGTTCCCTACCCGCACTGACTGACTCTTCACAGCTGTTGGTCACCCACTTTAGTTACCTAACTTAATAGTGTCCTAAGGGCTGGACCAACTTAAGGGTTGGATTTTCCAAATTAATCAGGGTGGTTCCATCATTCTAACAGAAAAAGGCACTACAACTCAAACTGTCTGAAGCATAACAGAAATGTTTCAGCTTTTTAGCAGGCAGGGTATGGTGAGGTGGGCTGAGGATGCGGCTCACTCACGCCATCTGATTCTCTGCTGCTGTCTCTGCTCTGTTCTGCCCTTCTCCTCTGGCCGTTTTGACTGCAGCTTTCCTGATTCAGAGGGCGGCCAGCGGCTGGGCACTGAACTGCTGTCCTGCTCACCAGAAACAGACCTTCCCTTTTGTCTGAGGACTGCTTAGGTTCCCCGCCCATCCCTGGAACAGTTACAAGGCACCGATGGGCTAAAAGCTGGGATGTGACTGGCCAGGGGTGCCCTGCTTGGCTTCCCTGGAGCAGAGTGCTCACCCGGTGCCATGGGTGGAGTGGCTCCCTGTGAGTTACCTGGGCTGCACGGGAAGAGTACCAGAGTCACTGCTCTCTAAGGAGGGGAAAAGGGTGCCAGGTAGATGGCTTCCACACCTGCCGTGCCCACTGTACCTCTCAGCAAGTTCTGTGAGTTTCCTGTCGCCCCTTTTGCAAATGACCATACACTTAATGGTTCAAAACAATATGAACTTAGAATCTTAAAGTTCTGGAAGTCAGAAATCTTTTTTTTGGGGGAGGGGGTTTGCTATAGGGCGCGTGCGCTCGCCAGACAGAGAGAGACATAGAGACATAAAGCGAGAAATCACCCCCCAGGGGGGGATGGTCACGCTGCAATCCCTTCTCCATTCTCCTCTCGGGATCTTGGGCACGCACGCACACGTGCTCAGCGTGAGTTTTAAGCCACCGGGTCCGGGACACGAACCGCAGCTGACTACGTGGGAGTCCAGCGACATAGCCATTACGCTAACTACTGGTACCCTGGAAGTCAGAAATCTGCAAGCAGTCTCAGGGGATTAAAATCAGGTCTGTGTTCCTTCCAGAGGCTCCAGGACAGAGTCCCATTTCTTCACCTGTCCAGCATCTAGAAGTCCTGCATTCCTCAGCCCTGCCTCATGGTTCCTTCCTCCCAGTTTCCGTCCTTTGCTGCCTTCTCCATCTCAGATCCTCCCCCCTCCCTCTTATAAGGACTCTTCAATTACATTAGAACCATTCGGATAATCCAGGATAAGCCTCTCATCACAGGATCCTAGCTTAATCGCCTCTGCAAGGTCCCTTAGCCACGTAAGGTAGCATATTCACAGGTTCTGGGGACATGACAGGGACATCCTGGGAGTAGTGTCATCGTCTTGCCCACTCAGTTGTCCCATGTCCCCTTGTCTGTCCCGTGGCTGTGTTTCCCACCTCATCTTGCACATGTCTGCTGCATTCCTCTCTTCATTTACATTGTATAGAAGGAAAAGCAGCTGTCTAAACTCTGGGGTTGAAAACTCTAGAAATGGGGTTACAGAAGGAAAAACACATATAGTTGTATTTGTTTTCTGAAAGTTTTTGTTTAGAATCCATAAGTTTACCCAAGGTGGGCATTACTGTCCAAGTCAAGTGATCTAAGATTTATTTCTAAACAATATGCTCCACTTGTAAAAGACCTTTTAAACAATTTATTTATTTTAAAAGCTTATTATTTCTTCTATGACGGAAGAAGACAGAAAGAGAGAGAGAGTGGCACCCTCAACAGGTCTTTATGTCAGGATGGTACCCCCCAGTGTCAAGTCAGCCAGGGTTAGGGGCAGTCATGAGCACCCACTAAGCACAGGGAGGCCCCACAAACCCAGGACGTTCCTTATAGCCCCAACATTGTGGAGCATTGTGTGACCGCTGTGCCACCATGGCCGTCCCTGAAACAGTGTTTTAGCTCTGCCCCAAAATAGAGTTGACATTTTTGCCACTTTGTTCAAGGTCATATATAAAGCGCTATTTTTAGTTTTCATTTCTCAAAGTGAAATTACTTCCTCTTGATCTAGGACTAATACTTTGGTGATATTTTTCACCAGGAGGGAAGGAATTAGTACACCTGTAGACTTTGCTTTCTTACCACTGAGAGACTCTGGCTTAAACTTTTCCTGTCCAGTGGTGTCATTCACGGGGAAATGGCAATACAGTTGTTGGAACACCTCATCTCTGTGGGCAACAGCAAGTACAAATCCTCCTCTCAAATCTGAATGTTCTTGTGTATCATTTCAGTGGAAAATGTTTTAGTAAAGTATTATTTAATTCCTTAGCTATTCATTTTTGAATGAAATAGAAGTACTAGTGATTTTTGTTTGTCTGTTTGCTATAGGGCATGTGCGATCACTAGAGCAAAATGGGGAGAGGGTGACGAGAAATCCTCCCCAGGGAGATGGCCTCGAGGCAATCCCTTCTCCTTTCCCCTCTCAGGATTTTGAGGATGCACACATGTAGCGGGCAAGTTTTCCAAGCCACTGGGGCCAGACTTGAATCACACAGTCAGCCTCGTGGGATCCAGCACCTTAACCGCCACAGGACTGACCCTAACTGTCCACAGCAGTGACCTAACTGTGACTTCTTCACACACATGCCAAAGAAGTAAAAGTCATCTTTGCACTGACCTGCAGAATCCACTAACACCAAGTAACATTTCAGAATTCCAGCTTGATTCTAGCGGGTGGAAAATGGGCTCGACTCTTGTTCATCTTTGTGAAAAGACAAGAAATTAGTAGAATTGGATATTCAGCTTGTGTTTTGTCTCTATAATAATTATAAATTCTGCAAAATATATAGATGTTTTGAGAAAGCAGCCTTTTATGGGGGGGGTGTGGGCTAGATAAGGCTAAAAAAGGTAACATTTTATTAAGAGAAATAGTTTAGATTTTATGACGCAGTGAGAAATCCATTTGTGCTGATTACTATGTTCTGTTTGAGAAAGCTCCTCTTAAAAATGTCCCTAAAGTGGGGACTAGCAGTTAGCGTAATGGCTATGTTGCTGGACTCCCATGTAGTTGACCGTGGTTCGAGTCCCAGACCTCACGCCGGGCGCATGTGCGTGCGTGCCCAAGATCCCGAGAGGAGAATGGAGGAGAAGGGATTGCGGCGTGACCATCCCCCCGGGGGTGATTTCTC